GAGAGAGAGAGAGAGAGAGAGAGAGAGAGAGAGAGAGAGAGAGAGAAAGGGGAGGGTTTTCAGAGAGAGTGAGAGGGCGGGTATTAGGTTGCTTCTGCAGGCATTTTGTCACTCCCAAAGAAAATTTAGGATTAGGGAGGAGAGCAGTGGTGAGGTTCTTCAGGAAGGCTCAGGCCCCAGGGCATTCTCAGTATAGGAGGGACCTGGTTAGAAGAAAGTAGTACAGACACTGTCATCAAATCCACCACATTATTCAGCAAAGGGATAAACCTCTCAGCACTTGAGCCAACATTAAATGACTCCAACCATTTGTTGGGCGATGGGTTGGGTTCTGAGTCGACACAGGAGCCCTGAGCTAGACAGCAAAGATTCCTGCCTTTATGGGCTTCAAGCTAAAAGAGATCCCATGTGTATCCAGGAATCCTAAATTTGGTGAGGGCATCGTGGGAGGTGTAAGCAGTTTGCTCTAGGCTGTGGCACGTTTGATCAACTGCTCAGGCTAGGTGGTTGATTTTTTTTTTTTATGTTTGTGAGGTGGTAAATATGAGGCAAGAGATCAACTCTAGGGCACAATGGAGCACAGGGGGAGGAGGGAATGGAAATTGAGAAGTTGGGCTGAGGGTTAGACTGGGAGAGTGACTAGACCCACCTAGAGACTTTTTTCAGTCAGAAATACAGATGTACCGGAAACTGCTTCAATAATTTGGTTTTACCTGAACCAGAAAAATAGAATTTTTTTTTAAATCAACCATGAAGGTTATGGCTGCAGAAGAAAGAGGAAACAAAGCTGTAGAGAACAAAGCAGAGCCATGGGAGGAAAAACAGTTGTTATTTATTTATGTGTAAAAGCTAAGATAGTGATCCAGCGATCTGAAATGCCAACCTGACATTTGCCAAATTGTGTACACATGGCTCTGCTGGAAGTTCAGGGTTTTCATGCAGAAGCAGCACTTTGCTCTCCAAACATTAGCCTAACACTGGGGATAGGAGAGAGTCTGCTATTCACGGAAGAAAAGCCTGGTGGGAGAGAACAAGTTTGAAAGGTTTTGAGTTTAGGGTTCTCCAGGGACACCGAGGAAAGATCATCTTCTGGAGTAAGAAGCTAATGAGATGAGTATGAAGACCACAGACAGACAGGCGATGGCACAGTGGGGCAGGAGTGAGCTCTGAGGAGAGGTCTGGCCCAGGAGGCATAGCATAGGTTCTTCTCCCAGTTTTCACAGGAAGTGCTGGGGGAAGGAGGTTGGAAATTCCCCCTTTTGGTTTGTAGTTGGTCATTGCTGGGGTCACTAGGGAGTAGTCAGTTAATGATAGGTAATGGGTAAACATCTTCTCTGGCCATTATGGGGTCAATAGGGTAGAGAAGGCTAGAATTCAGAGAAGCATAACCACTTTAGCGACAGGAATTGTCACAGTTTAATGAAAACAAAGGAACTTCATAGAAATGGCCTGGCCAGCTGGTTGAACTGAAAATTCTTGGGCTACTAATGTCAGTGGCTGTTGGATCTTCCTAGTTCCACAAGAGAAGACTGGGATGTAAATATGGAAGGATGCCCAGGGAGAAGCTCAATGGGTAAAGGGGCTGGCTTGTCACCAAGGCAGACAACCTGAGTTTGATTTCCGGGACCCACACAGAAGACAATAATCTGTTTCTGAAGGTTGTCTTCTGACCCCCACACACTGCGTGGCACTCATACACCCATGTGCACATACACAGGAAACAAATAAAATGTAATAATTAAAAAGTGTGTGTGTGTAAAGGAAAACTACCAGGGACTCTTTCAGCGAGGACTCTAGAGTGTCCTTGAGCTCCTTGTAGGGGATCTGTGCTGAAGAAACCAGGAATGGTTTTGAGAGGGCAGAACACATGTGTTTCCTTTAGCTTACTGACAGCAAAAGTCATAAAATAAGTACAAGATAGCATCACATGATGCAAATTCTTCTGAAGGACAGACAAAAATGAACATTAACAAAAAGTTGACAAGAACAACCACCATTTATATTTTGCTGAATTTAGCATAGGGATCTTCATGTTTCATAAGCTCATTTGCATGTATTTTAACAAAGGTGAACACTGCAGATTGACTTGATGCCATAGAACTGTACACTTTAAATTACCTTAACAGGAAACACACACACACACACGTATACATATTATTAACAGGATATATATATATATATCATATATATATATATATATAATATTTTGAAAAAAAAAGAAGCTCCAAATGATAGGATCAATGAAAGTATATTATTCTATATTCACAACAGCTGCATATCACACAGTGTGCATCTGTACTTAGCATTAGCTTACTTAACAGTGATTCATCCTGCACTCATCTCTAGACTTTTCCACCATTGGAATCAGTGGTGATGTGAAGCCACCTCAACACTTATGTACCTAACAGGTGTGAGGGGTGATGTCCTCTCCTGCGTGTATAACAACTTCTCATCACCGTGTGATGATTTGGAGGGTGAGTTTTCTCCTTGAGCTTCCACATGTCTCGGGAACTCTTGTGAAACCTACCTGAAGTGCTTGTCTAACTCGCTGTTTCTGCTTGTCACCTGACTCATACCTCTGACGTAGTGGAACTTGCCCAAAACACAGCCTGTTCCCCATGGACTACTGCAGTTCTTCTAAAATTTACGTTTTGTCTGCTTCTGGAGATGGCTCTCCATTATCTTGTCCTCTGCACCCAGACTCACCTGTTTGTCATCCCTGAAACCAAGGTCATGTTGTAGGAGACAGCAAGGGGCTGAGACTCTAAGCTTTAGGTGTGAGGCAAACACATGCTTATCTTCTTTCATGGAACCATGGAGCAGCTGTACTCAGTGTTCTTATAGTCCACCTTTCATTCCTGGGATTTCATAGCTCAGTGACCTGCACTTTCCTAACTTGGGACATGCTTATTCCCTCATCTGGATTGTGGATTCCATGTCATTGCTTAAAGCTCAACCCCTGCTTTAATCACTGGATAAAATGTTCTGTGCATTGTTACTGGACAGATAAGACTATTAAAAAGGAGAGTGGGATATTCAGAGGGAGGGCATAGTGTGTGCGTGTTTATATGACAAGGACACAGAATATCATGATTCCTAGAGGAAACAGACCTCTCCAAGGTGGTGTGCACTATGCATCTTTCCTTCCTGTGTCCCCAGATGGAGGACTCCTTATGTGCTGGGTGTCTGGAGAAAGGGAGCATTGCCTGAGGGTAGGATTTGTGTAGTTGATCATGAGAATGTGTAGAGATGTGCAGGGAAAGAGCAGGTTGGGATGTATCAGAGCTAAATAAAAGGGAAAATGAGAGAACAAAGAGGAAAACTGATATTGAAGTGTGTACAGTGAATCGTGACTTCCAGGTGCAGTACTGAGTATGAGAGGTAATGGCTTAGGGCAGAGAAAACGCTTAGGTATGGCTCAGTCATGTGCAGAAGAAGTACCTTGTTCAAAATAGTTTTCTGAAGTAACAGGTTTTGAGTCCCAGTAAACAATACCCAAACACTCTTCCATGGGAGCCTCTTAGGTGTCTTCCCAGCCTCCTGGGAGTACACTGTGATAGTTTATGCTAATGAGATGATGTCTGTACCAATGTACCAAGGATATATCCTTATCAGCATATAAGTCTTGACTCACAAAGGGAGACAAAGGAGGGGGAAAGATTCAGCATGTATCACACAGAGGCAAGAGTGGCGTTAAAAGCAATTTAATGGGTCAAAGCAGGAAACATGCATTTTTTTTTTCCCATAAAGAATCCCATAGATGAACTCTGAGGAATCAAAGACCATTCAAAGCACTGAGACTTTATGTTTAACTCAGAGGCTCTAAAGACACCTTGAGGGTGTGAGGGAAGACACCATGGCATGCATTTTTAGGGTACAATAGAGAATGTAGCAAATTACTGTCTCTAGACAATAGGGAAAGAAGCAGACAAGCAGGAATTCAGCAGCAGGTGGTTGACTCTTCAAGGGCCTGGCTGTGTTACTTCTGCTTAGTCTTCTGCTGAGCCAATTCTGGAGTGACATTTGTGGGGTACACCTCAGTAGCCTTGGATTGGCATGGCTCTGGTACCTTAGAATATCCCTGACCAGGTACCTTGGTATAGCCCTGATCAGGGACCTTGGTATAGTTGGGCTCTGAGGCATTCACATAGCCAGGTTCAGGGACATTGGTAGAGCATGGCCCAGAAACCATGGTACAACCCGAGTCAGGGATATTGGTGGAACATGGCTCAGGAACCATGGTGCAAGCTGGCCCAGGGAGGTTGGTAGAGCATGGCCCAGGCATTGTGGTATAATCTGGCTCTGGGATTTTGGTAGTACCTGGCCCCAGCATTGTGGTATAATCTGGCTCAGGGATTTTGGTAGTACCTGGCCCCAG